TTAAATCGCGCTTCTGTCGGCGCGCTGTTGTTGGCGCGCTGTTATCGGCGCGCTTTTGACATCATGGTTTTAGCGCCATGGTTTTGTCGGTGCGCTTTTGACGTTCGCAGTTATGTCGTGCCACGCAGAAAGCAACAAGGACTTCATCTTAAAGACTCTAGGATAAGCTTTTCATATTCATGCATACATATATCTATGTTGTTTCTAAGAGTTGACACAGACTTGATGGCAAATAATTAAATCATACACACATCTTCACACAAACACACATCTAGCTCTGCCTTATTCCTATCTCTGCCTCTTTTCCAACACATAAAATGATCCTAATCTATCCAAGCTCCAAACTCTCATTTATTCAGATCATATTCACCATGTTTCTCAACCTTGTCAACTTGAAGATGTCTGGACTTCAACTCCCAGAATTCCCCAGCCAGCGATATACACTCTTGGTTTAATTTAGGAAGTTGAAAAAAATACTGAGGATGAATTCAAATAAGAATTAAGACTTACTTCACCATGTAATAGGCAGAAGGAATGACCTTGAAGATAGGAGGAAGATCTTCTATCAAGATATTGGTCAGATAAAAGATATATGAGTTTGGACCAGAACTCTTATTGAGAAAACATCTCAGACAAGACTGTCCCTAGTTTTCATGAAGATAAAGGAAGGAATTCAGACTTGCAAGATTTTGTTACCACAACCTTATTAAAAAAATGGGATTGTCTTGCATGACTTTCATTTCCTTATTGGATCTAACTTGAAAAACTGAGATTCTATCAACAGCTGTTCTAACCTTGCAATTCTGTTCCCAGAAGGAAGGTGGTAGAAGCTGGACTGGAAGGTGAGATTTCAGAGTGCGCGGGGAAGGCATTGCTTCTGCCATTTCCAAACCTGCAACATGGGAGGGGGAGATGGATGGACATAATTCAGGCTCATGGAAAGGAAAACCTTTCCCATCACTTCCATGAAGCAGTACCTTGCTACTCACCCGAAGATATGGGTTTCATAGGAAACAAATCTATGAAGGGAATCCGTTCATATATGGGAGCCCTTGCACATTTCTGTTTGTCTCCTCCATGCTGCACCATGTCCACTATTTCTTGCACCCAGGTAGTCCCTGATATGAGGAATGAAGAGAACAGATAGATTGATGTAGAGATTAAGTCCTGCTCCTTCTTTAATTTAAACTTTATATCTCTTTCCTAAAAAAGTTCCATCATGCTTTTCCATGTCTCCTTCCCACTTACCTGCTTTGGGATAAGTGCAAATTAGAAGGTCATCAGGCTGGGCTTTAAAATTCCTTAAGAGCTCCAGGTTTGCAGCAGTACTATCAAGTAAAGAAGTTCCTTCAACTTCCACCAGCTTTGAGCGTTTGAGTAACCTAGGATCAAACTCTTCCAATGCTCTTCTTAAATACTCCATAACTGAGTGGAAAAGGCAGGAGAATGGAGCTTATAACTTGCAGAGATGTGAGTACAAATCTTTGGGATTTAGTATTCCAGTTTTGCAAAGATTCTGCTCTAGAGTTCCTTATGAATCAAAGTCAAGTTGTCTTCCTGCACTATATAAATTCATGTCTGTCTCCACCCACTTTCTCTTTTCTTCCCTAAAATTTCTGCAAGGACTGGGAATTTGATGATAGGTACATTTTCTAGACAGCAGAGACTTGGGAAATGTTTTCCTGAATAGATTTGTATCTTGTGAGATGGGTTGGGCTGAGAGAGCGAGAGATCCCAAAGTCACCTACCAGCTTTTACACCTGAAGAAAAGAACTCATGGCCTCCCTGTTTCTAGCCCAACATTTTAACCATTACACTAAACTATGTGTGCTTTTAATCCTAAGACTTTCTTTCTTATTTTTTTACTGCCTATGTTAAGGGAGGATTCTATGATCACTTTAGGTCTATGCTTCTTAAAACAATTTCTTATTTAATACACAATATACTGTACCTATGTCAGTGGTCTGACTAGTGAACCCAAGAAAAGTAGACACTCTCAGGAACTCCTAAATCCCAAAAGTAAAATTTTATTGGCTACACTAAGAATCAAAACCAACTCTGATTTTTATTCTGCAATGCTTATATAGTTAAACAATAGCTTCTCCTTCCCCACACTCTGGCTTGATCATATTGTCCAATTATAAATAGTCCGTTCGTTTAAAGAACAGTTCACTTCTCTGTTGTACCTTGCAGCAGTGTCCTTGATGGGATCTTGGCTCTCACAGTCTGTCTCTGGAGTATCTGCATTCTTTCACCCTTCCCCCCTCCCAGTTCTTTGGCAAGTTGAATAG